GCTTTTGCACCAAACAGGCAAACGTTTCTACGTTGCAATAATACAAAATTGTATTTTTGGTTTTCACGTAATCAAAACTGGAGGAAGTCTTCGAAATGAAACAATGAATTATCATTTTGTGACCAAGGGAAATATACGCTCGTGTTTGTAGTACTGCATGTATGTACTGCAAGCACGTGCAGCGTCTTATCTATAATAATTGCTACGACATTACTTAGTGACACTGAACGAATTATAATTTAAACAATATTATGCATTCTTATATAAATTGCCATTTTGGCGTTGTGAAGACGGATCCACAGCGTTAAGGGTCTTGGGTTGGAATCTTGAAGGAACAGAATACTTTCAGTTTTTTATTAGTAATTAACCTTTGGCGACCATAATAACCCATCGAAGGAACCCGTTTGGATAGTAGACAGTAGAATATAGACACTGTTCAGAGAACGACCTCTCGATGCACCTGCATTTTATAGCTTACCAACTAAGTTAATATTTATTTCTGTCAAGGGTTGCGGTCTATAGTAGGCCATATTTTTCTTAACATAAATAACTGACCCATAAATTAAGATAACTGAAAAACGTGACACGCATTTTGCAAAATATAACAGGAAGTTATGCATTTACGATAGAGAATTTGTATTTTGAAATGCGGTAACCCGAATTCGTAATATAAGTTTTCCTTAATGCATTTTCCTCTTTCTTCGTTTTGTTTATAATCGCTGAAATTCTAGACAATGAAAGTACGGAGCGTGGCTGGGCGTTGGGCGTGCCAGCCCCGCCTACATGCAACAGGTCGCTGTGGAAACGCCCACACACTTACACAATTCAGACCTTTTCAAATACTTTCACCGATTTCATTTGTAAAACAGTCACAGGAATCTACTCAATGTTATACATGCTATAATTTGACAGTAGAAGTGCAACTAAATATGTATGTGTTACTGTCTTATGTTTATATGCTTAACCCTTTAAAACCATTTTCTATCATTCATACAAAACTTACGTTCTGGATCCCGGGGAAAAGATAGTTTTACGTGATAGACAACGACCCTATAATTAATAAAACATCGTCCACACGTAAAAGTTTTTAAGTAGAAATAGTACAGGATCTTTTTACATGTATTCTAAAACTAATATATATACTATATTTATAAAAATGTTCACTAAATATTTTGACCTTATTAGCTATTAAATTTTCTGTAGGTTTTACGTAAAAAAAGGACTTACTGCGTTCTCAAAGACATTCTCAAATACTGATAGGACATGTGGTTTTTAGATTTAAGTAAATCTTTATGTTGTAACCGGATATTGGGTCAAACGAAAAATAGTGAAGTGTTAAATATTTATTTAAATGTTTTTCTTCCTAATTTCAATCCTTATAAATAGATACTTAAAACATTTTCTTTATTGTATGACATTAGATAAATTAAAAATCTATTAAGATTGCTAAGAAAGGTGGCACGTGTGGCTTTGAATCGGCATCCATAGCTATCCGTGCTGCACTAACAAATTGAGCTACCGAAAAATGTCCCCATCAAGCGTCAAGGGAAATTTTACAGACACCTCTCGCGCGTGATTAGATAGAAATTTAAAATTATTTTATATAATATAATCATGTGCAATATGTAAATAAGTAATAAATAAGAAAGTTACAAATCATAATAAATAAATTCAAAGTCTAATACATTTAAAATAAGAGTAGAACAATAAATTAAGGGTAGAAACATCGTTCGATAGCCCCTTCCGTTCCATACCATTTAATGCGAGGAACAATAAAAATTCGAGCCTATAAAATTTGACCTAGAGAATCGAAATTTAGCGATCGCACTATAAAGGAAACGCGTTCTAAATAACGACAGTGTTAAGAGGTCGTGGAATTGTGGATAGGGGTAGCGCGTGCCAACGCCGCCGCTACTATTTTTCTATTCGCGTATAGGTAGTCGAATATAGGGTGTATTGCGAATCGCACAAAACTATAAATGCAATAGTATTATCTTTTAAATAAAACACGTAAACTTATTTAAGAATTCTTTTAATTGCGTCCCGATGTTACTGATGCTTTGCAGCAGTGGTCACGGGGAGAACAAAGAGGGAGAGAAATTAGGGACTAATTTAAAAGTGAATAGAATTATTGCCCTGAACCCGTTTCTAGAAGTAACTGCGCGTGAATTAAAAATTTATCATTTTTGACAAGAGTACCTATTTATATAAGCATGTAGCTTACATATCGGCTGATTTTGTATGAATCCTTATATTTTTGTAGCTACATTAAGCAAAATTGTTTTTATGTAACAATTTCCTCATTTACCTAACAAAACCCTTTACATTCTGTCGTGTTTGCTTCAAAAAAAGATGTTTTTACCGTCAAAAGAATATCTCTATGAAAGCCTCTCGAAGGCACTACTTTCCTCAGCCCTGCTGGTGTGAATAAATTTGCAAAAGCGTCGCCCCACCGGAATCTCTCGATAACCAACGGCGCCTATGCTTTATAACGCGTAACGTCCGGAACCTAATTTATTGTCACACTATTCTTATAAAAAATTGCAAATTGTATCATTATCCACTAGTGTTTTATGCCCTACTGAAATTTTCAGTATCGAGAACACGCCAAAATTATTTGTTCAATTTACTGAAATTTTAAATTAAAGTTCTTGCAAACTAGATAATAATATAAAGATTGAAAACTTGAGTATTTTTACATGCACATGAAGGCACTACATAATTTTAAAATCGAAAATATATTGAAAAAAAAAATCGACTCGGGCAGGACTCGAACCAACATCGTTAGCGTTCCTAGCTGTTGCTCTACCAATTGAGCTACAGAGTCCCACAGTACGGTACTACGGTAGGACTCAGTAGCTCAATTGGTAGAGCAACAGCACGGAACGCTAACGATGCCGGTTAAAGTCCTGCCCGAGGCAAACATTTTTTTCAATTTATTTTCGATTTTAATATTACAAAGATGTTTGTAATATCAGAAGCAAATAGACGGGTATACTCGTAAATGTGTTATCTGCCTACATTCTTCTCTTTTTGGTATTTTCAAAATCGTTAGCGTAATTCAAATTGTATAGCTTACATAAATAATTAAAAAATAACATGGTTGAAATGAGCATACTAAAATCTATAACACTCCCATAGATATACATAGTGTAATTTCTTCCACTTCTCAGTGAATTAAACATCAGCTAAAGATAGATCATAGGAGTAAACTGAAACTAAGTTACTTCTATTTCAGCGAATCTTACAAACTACAAAAGTAATATTTCGCTTTCGCAGACAAGTTTTATACGAAAAGTTGATTGTTCTAGATATCTAGATAAATATTTTACTCGAGTAATAAATCTGAAAAGTGGATGTAATACTTTCGTAATATCGTATATTAGTCGCATTTTCGCTCAGACGTGGTTTATGTCGGCCTTATTTCGGGACGCCAATTATCTACATCACATATTAAGAACACACTTTATTCTGAGCAATGAACGCAGAGAAAGTCCGTTATATTGCTGAATATGCGACAGATTTATCGTGGTTTGCTAGTGTTGTTCCACTTTACGTGTGTCATCTTATCGAGAACTTGTAACCTTCCTCATTCAAATTATATTTTAATCAACACAATTCCAAGCTTAAACATTTATAAGAAAATCGAATGTCGTACTTAATTTTGACTATATACTCGTAATTTAAATAAAACACTTTAAGGGTTTAAAACACGATTTATTAGTTAAAATTATTTTTCTGAAACGTCCGGCCGAAGTTAAAAATCATTTTCAAATAAGTTTAACTAATATATTGCGTTTTAAACCGTTAAAGTGTTTTATTTAAATGTGTACTACTAGCGTAAACTATAGACAGTATTTATATACTCGTAATGTTTAATTATTATTAGGTAAGAAAAAGGAAGGGATGAATTGTTTTTTGACATCAGACACATTTAAAGTGTACTATTTAACAAAGCATAGAGGTAATTATAAACGCTCTAAGAAATAGGTTAATTCTAAAGACGTGAAGCTTCATATAAAAGTTTTCGAACCCAGGTGAAATGGAGACTTATGTTGCCGATTAAAAAATCGATAGTGTCCCAACACTATGAGGTCGTCAGGTGGGACGCGGGGTGAGGGCGGCACAGTGGCGCCGCTGTGGCGGGCAGGTTACGATTTACACTCCACGGACTCAGCAGAATCTCTGCTGAACGGGAATCGCTGATAATCCACATCTAGACGCGCTCCTCGAAAATTATATCGGGAACTTGTAACCTCCGCGCAGGGATTAAGTTAATCGCTTTAATAATATAACACAATAGGGCGGCGACTTTACAGTCTTGGTATAAGTACCTCATTATTTAAACAAAATGTGACACATTAGTTCCAATACATGCCCATCTTTAAAACTTTTATTTGACAGCTCTTGTTACTATCTTACCAACATGTGCATAAAGGAAACAACTTAGGATTTATTAACGATTATAAATACATAATTATCTTCTTGCATCGTTCGTATTAGAATTGAAGTCTCGGTTTGGCTACAGTACATAAATCAGTCTCATATGTGTAGATGATGAAACATTTTTACCCGGCGTAGCCATAACTTTATCATGATTTCCTAGGATTAAAATAAAAAAAACATTAATTATTTAAAAAATAAAATTATGTTTCATATTTATATTGAAATTAGGAGAGCTCTAGTTATTTAATAATTGAGAAAAATAAATGCAACTATCAAATATACTATTACGTGCAACTAGTAACTTATTATAAATTTGGTGAAGGTTTAAATCTCAGGAATTCTATTCTTGTTTGGATAGACCATTTAAATGATCTAAAAAATTTCCGCGATAATATGTCCCATCTTTTGAGATGAACATATTGTCGCGCAGACAGTACCTACGCAACATTTTGTTAGAAAAAAGTTTGATGCCCAAAATAACTAGGTATAACAAAATGATTAGATATAATGTATGTAATATAATATTTTACTTATATAAGTTATTTTCATTCCAGGTATATTAACATGGTAAAACTTGTAACGACGCACGTGAGCCACTTCAAGTAGCAGACTTCTTGCGGACGGCAAAATCGTGTGACTCCGAAGAAGGAAGTTGCGATTAAACGGCGCTAGTGATGTACCTACACCACAATTGGATGTCGATAGTATGTGATCGAACGATATGATCTTGGACTATTATTCTTAAGATTTTGACCTCGCGTAATTTAGTGACCGCTGTAAATTCCCTAGTTCTGAATCTTAGTTGTACTTGCTTTGCCTTCATAAAAAACGTAGGGTAGGAGCGTCTCCTATGTTTTGTCTCTATCGCGCAAATGAAATTTAGTATTAAATGAAAGGAAAATATGGAAACCTATTTTACGTTTGTTATGAAGACACTTTGTGTAATATTGATTTGGATAATTCATTGCATTTCGATGTTGTAGGGATTATCAAAGTCTCAATTACCACATGTATGTACAATGTTCAGTGAAATGAATGTTAGCTAATAGTTAGAGACGAGTAAACTTTGCCATTTTAGCTGTTATTTTCGTGACATTTCGGTGGGCCAACATTGTAGTTATTAAATCATTGATAGTAAATTAACTTGTATGTTAAGTCCCAGGAGGAAGGTCTCGTATGAACAAACTGTGAATTTACCATTTACTTATCATTTTTTATTCAACGCCCCTCAACTTTCCGCGCTTTAAAACAATTACCTCAGTTGAACGATGGCCATTTATGTACCAAAAACTCTAGTACCAGTATAACGTTTTGTACGCCAAAATTTATGCCTAATAACCGTAGTGCTGTTTCACAGCTAAATTAATTATAGATACCCTGTTGTTGATTTTAGTTCGGGATTTGTAAATATTTTTGCTCATGTAACTCATTATAATATCGCAATTTTATACATTATTACAAATAGGCGACATTTTTAATTGGAAGTGATAAAACCTATATTTGGTGTTAACTAATATCGATAGATGGCGTTGATCATAATGTAAATTTGTTCTTTTAAAACTAACACATCTGATCCTTGCTTTAAAATCAATAGTCAGATCTCTAGTCGCGAATAATTAATAAGCACTGTTTGTAAAATGTTAGACTAATATTTTGTTACATCTCGCACAAAGCATGGTACAATAATAAACCATGGCATAAGAAAACGTCGACTCAGCTTTGAACTGAACTTGGAAGAAAAAAGTGATTTTTAATGAAGTTTCCAAAGGACAAACGTCCCGAGTTACATTATTGTTATACATTTACAAGTAGCTAGAAAATTTTCCAAATTTTTTAATGAAATTTTTAAACTTTATACGTCTCCACAAGTAACTTGCTCGTGACCTTAATAGGTATAGCTATTGGTTGCCGTGAAGTGTTCATTTTTAAATTATAAGTATTTTACGTCAATTTTTTACGAGCACTATTCATTTAATCGAATCATTTTGTAACGTTAGACCAACCTGTTATTTTTATACTTTTCAGCTGATATTGGTGCTATAGATAAAACGAATAGCGCATAAATTTATCTTTAAGTTTTTATACTCTGTGAAATGGTACAAGCAGCCGTGCAGCCGTGTTCAAGGCACAGTGTGTGCTATATGTAAATATATCTAGTGAAATATAGTTTATGTTATTCGACTTAAAGTCACAGCGATCCTGGAATGTCCAACATTCGTATCGCACAAAGGTAAGGTAATTTTGCCAAATATTCTATACAAGCGACGTCTATAATCGTAAGGATAAAGGCCTGATTAAGCGAAAAATAATAATATCGATTAGAATTGACCGCCCGCTTAATCGATATTACGGATCATTTAGTTGAGGGTCGTCTTTCTGAAATCATGTTATCATTTCTCACTGAAATTGGGCCTCAGTGTTAGGTGACTAGACTCTTCGGAGACATCTCATAGATAAGTTCGTTAGTTTTATTTCTAATGGTTGTTGATAATTATACTTACCTGTAGCAGTGTTTAGGCGGGTCTATGTCAATCCATGTGGTCAATTAGTTAATCTGTTTAAGGCTAGTTAGTGGCATATGCTAGGCACAGTGGTATTGAATTTGTTTTCCTATCAACGTTACCACTATGGTAGATTTGCTTTGAAACGTTCTAGGCTAATTTGGTTGATACGGTAATTAAACGTGAAGTGATTCGATTTCTAAACGTCAGTCAATTCTTAAAATTGTGTAATATACAAACTGATTAATTAAATTCTTGATATTCAAAATTAAATATTCTTAAACGGTTTTTTGTAACTAAAGGCCCAATGACATATAAGTTGATCAATTGAAAATAAAATATTTCGGATTTTTTACGTATTTCCAAGACTATTACTACTAAATTGTATTCATTACGTTTGCATTACCAAATTCCTAGATAGTAGACATATCTACGATCTTAACTAAAATGTCATTTGGTTAATCACCGTTGTTCTTCGACAAAACTGTTAGATAACTTACTGATATAAACTGTGCAATTGTTAAGGCTTATGCGGCCATTTTGCAGAACTTGAGCCCGCGAGCTAATCGGCCGTGGTAGTTGGGAAATGGTGCTGCCCGAACAGCTCAAAGCCCATTGTATCGACATTCAACCAGTGTTCGTTTAGTTATAAATGTAATGTAGGTAACCATTAATTTTTGATTTGGTGAGACATCGTTTCGCACTTAACTTATTCGTAGGTACAATGTTTTTTGTTTTTAATTTTTTTATGAAGTAATGTTTAAATCATTTTGTTGATTTTTATTTTCTCGTTTCAATTAGTTTTAATCGACTTTATCGTACCTACTATTAATTATGTTAGAGAATGTGTTTAAATGTAAATATATAGACGAAAAACATGTATGTAGGAGTACATAAATGTTATTTATGTATTAAATTTGATATTGTTTTCAAAATTTCATTGGTTGTATTATTTCGTCCTATGTCTCGAGTACACAAGACACCGTAAACTATTATGTTGAAAAAACCTTTTAAGCTGCCTTCAGGTACAATAAAGTATATCTAACACTTTTGTTCCTAAAAGGACAAAAACCTTCCATAATTATTTTTAAATCCAATTACTTAATAAGAAAGTCAACATTCAGTTTAATATTATACGCCGGTCCGTTATAGTTCAGTCGATTAGAACTTGTTTTATTGGCGAAGTTATGGAATACTTATTGAGGATGGCAAAGATTTTTATAGCAAATTTAGAAGTTTTTATGGCTCCACGTGTAGGCTAATGACAGTTTTATCTCATTTTCTGTATTCGGAAATGATCTAGGAGTTAATGGTTTGTTATCTTATCCCGATATTCTATCTAATAGAATAATCAATAGAAAAATAATGTAAAATATCTTTATTATTGATATGTTAAGAGTCTGTATCGTCGCATTCTTCAACCATGTCGCTAGGTGGCCCGGGCTGAGCTGGCGGACTCCAATTCAAGTAAATACTCTCGGTGTAAATCATCATACCAAACGAAAAGATCCACCTGTTACAACAATCGTATTATTAAAAAGGCGACTGGTCTACAAAGGTTACCACTATTTATTATCCTTACTAATATTATAAATACGAAAGTAACGTAAGTGTCTGTCTGTCTGTACTCTTTCACGCCAAAACTACTGAACGGATTTGAATGAAATTTGGTACACAGATGGTCTAGACTACACTTTTTATTGCGAAGTAGGGGGGGTAAAAGTTTGTATGGAAATCCGTAGTTTTTGAAGCTAGAGCAATGAAACTTTCTTTCTTTGGCTTTTTAGAAATTGAAATGGGAGTTAGAGTAGGACTGATGTGAGGTGAGAGTGTTGCGGCAAAGTAGGACTTATAACATAGATTGGCTGCCTTAAATGCGTCTACATAAATTAATAAACAGCCTAAATAATTAAACATTCTACCCTAAGTCACTATTCCACGCGAACAAAGTCGCGGGAACAGTTAGTATTTTATAAAAATACGTTTCATTTTGCGTGAGAGGATGCATGAAATCCCTAAAATATTCTTCTCTCTAGTATTAAGGCGTAGATTTCTTTAATGTAGGACATACAAGCATAACATGAAAGCAAGATGTCGACCTACTTTTATTTTCAACATTCGGATATATAAAGAATTCAATTGGACACCTTAAGTCATGTAAGGACACAGTTTATTTGTGTAAACATAATTACGACAAAACAGAGCAGAAGAGTTTTGACAATAGAGACGCCCTCCATTTTTAATCCCTTCCTGACCATCACTGTTGTAAAGCATCCGCAGATAAAAAATAATATTTTTCTTGTTATAAAGTTTAGAAAAATTTACAAAATTTAAAAATGAAAAAAAAAATGGACTAGGGCAGGACTTGAACCGGCATCGTCAGCGTTCCGTGCTGTTGCTCTGACGATGCCGGTTCAAGTCCTGTCCAAGTCAATTTTTTTTCAATCTATTTTCGATTGTTAAAAAAAGTTTAGTTTTAAAGTTCTGAGTTTTAACAAAATATACTACTTTACCACGCAAGACCTGCGTACAGATGCTTGTTATAGAAGGCCTGCTTGTTATTGTACCAAGGATCCCAAGCTCCGCATGGTACCGGCAGCTCATTCATGTGAGGATGGCAGAACCCTTTAAACAATTTACTTCATGGTACTATGGTACACTCGGCCATATTTAATTATATGCAAACACATTCAGCGAAGGAAGTATTATACTTCAAACAGGAGTCACTTTCAAGCTTTGGATATTCTGAATTTCACAGACTAAAATCAAAGCAAGGATTTACACTGAACGGTAGGTCATGACAGATTTTTCGGGGACGGATACAATAATAAGATTTTATCAAACAAAATGATTTGAAAACATATTGGACCCTTTAAGGTTCAAACCCACGATCCGTAGTTTGCAGAATTGCTAACGAATTTCTCTACGACTGTATATTTTTTTTTCTCAGAGACAGAACCTAGCTGTTGCCTCTTTTGGCTGCTACAAACTTACTTGTTTTGCTTGAATATTGCTTTTCTTGAAATAATCCACTAAGCTTCTTTTGTAATCCCAATATTTTTGAACGCATTTTCGCTCTTTTGACCAGATGTCATAAATTCAATACCATAGCTAGTTTATTCTTTTTAATAATTATACCTTACGTCCCAGTGTGAAATAAACGATATAAAACCTTCTATACACTTACCTATTACATTGTATAGTCTGTAGTTGTGTACTACGACCACATTTATTGAATGCTTTGCAGAATCTATTTATTATTATTATTTTCTATCGGGGACACCCTTGAGGACGGGTGATCAGTCCATTTCCTACCATTTCACCATTTCCATTGCAAATCTATAGTCATGATATATTTTGCCTTTTTAAGCCGTTTAAATGTTTAATTTTCACATTATACTACTATAAATCTTTCAATTTATAAAATTTAAATAGGTATGTAATTGTTTTTAATGTTTTTTTTTAAGTTGTCGTGAATGGCAATAAAAGCCAATATCTACAAAATAAAAAAAATAGTATAATCAAAATTTTATTATACAATTTTCAATTCCTAAATTATAACTAAAACAATGAACGGTAGGAAAAGATGCCAGTCAATTGAACGTTCTTTATGGCCCTTTAGACATTTTAATCAATAATAAATCGTAATTTTTTTAAAATTCATTGTGACAGGTAATTAATATAAATTGTTGGTAAAAATTAATAAAATAAAAAAAAAAATAATATTGTTTCATTTTTTAAAGAGAACATACATACATATTAAGTTATATGAAATAAAACAGAAGAGCCGAATAAATTCACTAGCTATTATGACGCAATTATGAACTTCTAAAATTATCAGTATATATGTTACGAGACCATACCTAGTACATATAACAAAGCTATCTTCTGGTACTCTGGTATTTATCTCAATTTTTCTTACTGCAATTATTGCTAACATTTCGTTAAAGTTCAGATTTAATTCCTTAAGTCTCTTAGCAGATAGGATACAACGGTGCTTCATTAATGTGTGTAGACTTTGTTGTAAAACTGATAATTAGAAGTCTACAAGATATGCATATGTATTGAGAAATTATAAATTAACAAACTTTTATTTATAACAAATTATTTTATGATAATTCCAAATGTAGAGATGAAGAGTCAAATCAGCACAGCATCCCTGGTTATGTATTAACAGTCTTAAAGCACAATGCTATAATACTACATTCGCTATCATTTTGGTAACACTAATTCAGACGTCAATCATATAAAATGGATTAAAAAGATATTTTTTCAATACCATGAGGTAATTTTAGTAATAATATAAATGTTTGAATAAAATATTTCTTTTGAGATTCTATTAGCAATTATGAAGTCAGTATAGTTAGCCCTAACTCTTAGTTGTGGAGATGTGGGTAGCTTTATAGCAAAACAAAATTGATAAACAGTTTGTCGCTTGTTGGTAACCCCTGTCATTAGTTTTTAGTCGCCACATAATTTTGTCAAAATCAGTAGATAGCTTAAATGAGTACACTAATATGTAGACAACGCTTCTAAGACTAAGAAAACCTTATCAATAAATTATCACGAAGAACAACTGTTAACATTACGGGTATATTTTGAGTTTTCCAATGGCTTATCATTGCTTAGAGGATATCTTTCGTCTTGGTGGATTTAATTAACTCAGAGATAGAGATTTGGTTGAAAAAATAGTCAAAAGGTATAGAGAAATTACATATAGTAAGTTAATTACAAACTAAATCTTATCTACTCTCGGGTTTGGGTTTTGGTGGTTTGAAGCCCATAATTTTCTTCTTCTTCTTCTCCTTTCCGCTGGTCGATTGAAATGTCTTCCAACTGTCGACTCGATTTTGACGTGATTCCTAAAAACATGTGAGACGATACAAATGAATAATGATATTACAACACCACACATCAAATAAAAATCGGCCAGCTCTGAATACAGACTAGTAGCTTCAAAAGCCATCCTTGCTATATCTATACTATATTGTAAAGCTAAAGAGTTTGTTTGAATGTGCTAATCTGAGGAACTACTCATTCGAAATGAAAAAATATTTTTTGTTCTAGACCAAACAAGGAAGGCTTTAGATTAATTGTCTAATAGACAGAAACAGCGAGAGATATGGAAAACAAAGAGGAAAATTAATCTTCTATGAGGGTTTTCGTCACTTGCACTGCTAAAACGGTTCAAGATGCCAAACAATATGTATGAAAGAATGATTCCCCTTTAAATGATCTAAAAAATGTCCACGACAATATATCTATCTTTTAAGATTAACCCACTAGAGTGGTTTTAATGTTAATCAAATTTCGTCGAAATACGGCCAAAGGCAAAAACATTTGCTAACTAGACTATCATTAACTACAGAAAGAACCTTCATTACCTCAAAATTCTTAGCCCATTCCTTTTCAAATGACATCTGCTCTTCTTGTTCAATTTCCGTCTCTCGTTTTCTCTTTCTCTCTTCCATATCCCTCGTCTCGAGGTGCTGCCGTTTTCGTTCCATGTCAGCAAATAGCTGAAACATTAATTGTGACTAATACAATTGACCCTCACCATTAGTAAGAAGAATTTAAAATATTATAACCTAATTCTGTCAATATAAAAATGCAATGTATAATAAAATAAATACAAATCTATTTTAATTAAGGCATAACTGTTATTGTATTAATGTCATACATTACATTACATACATGGTGGACCAAATCCACCATCCCCTATTTTATTTATTGGTGGGGGCATAGAACTAGAATTTGAATCTAGGACATCCTACTATATGCATAAATCTAACAAATCACAGGGGCTTCTTTGCCTCTTTATCTTATGTTGGAAATTTGACCTCTTTAGTAGAACTTTTACCAAACAATTCAATTAAGTTAAGTATGTATCTTAATGATAAGTTAGTACAAATAATTACCATACAGCAGTAGAAATTATAAATTGTACCTTCATAGTCATAACATAGACGGCATGTTTAAATTTGTCAGGATCATCTTCAGGTATAGGTTCATCATTGCGACCTTCTTTTCTTTGCTTCTTGCGCTTCTGCTCAATCTAGGATAAAATACATAAATATTTAAATAATATTAAACAACAACCCTGTTTTGTAAAAAACACAAATTTATAGTCATGTAATGAATTAAGCAATAATAATAATATGGCAGCTACATGTCTCCATGATGTTAAACATTCTCAGCAGAAGGATCAAGATTCAAAGGTCAGATTCGGTGCCAATGGTTGATCACCTAATTGCATTTTAAGGCAATTCAGATTGCCGTCTAAGTAGACATCTTACAATCATAGGAATAGGTAGAAAATAATAATAATAAGAAAATTCAGATCACTTAAACAAAAACAGAAATGAATATGCCTCATGCTAGATAAATGTAAAAAGTGACAATAACAGTATATGTTGGTGTTGATTATTATTATTATTAGTAAGTACCATATGTTCTGTTCTCTCTTTGGCCTCCTGGTAAATATCCAAACTTTTTTTACGCGTCTCCTCATTCTCCAAAGTTTTCCAAGCACGGTTAACTATCTCAAAAGCTTGTTGTGCTCGTTCCGCATCATCCTAGAATTAAAACATTGTATTGCACTGGGTTAAATTTGTGCTTAAAGTTATACATTTCATCTTTGAGATATTTTTGGTGATAAGTCTTTTTTATCTGACTGTTTCGACTGTCAAGACTGTTCATAAAAAAAAATTTAGACAAGTTATTGTGCCACTATTTAAATTTCATAATGTGGTAATAAAAAAAAATGAGTGAATTTAAAAGTTATTTTTTATAATGCAATTGAAAATTTAAGTCATAACTGCATAAATTTATCTACAATTAATATTGTGTAATTGATTCCAAAAATGGAATAATGAAATGAATTCCAGTATATTCTATTGTCTGTGTAATATTTCATTATTTTCAGTTGTTCCGTTTCTGCTAGCTGTCTTACCTATGTAGTGGGCTGACGAGTGGACTCACGATATCCATTGCACATCTGTGGATAAAAATGAAATATTGACGGTGGTACCGTCTAACCAAAATAACACCACCTTACACTAATTATAACCCAAATATAGTGAGTTTTGTGGATATTGAAATATGTTGCTAATGTATAAGTTATAAATAAAGGCTTTCAGTTTACCTAACTTTTCTTTTTTAACTTCAGCTTAAAATGAGGGATGTAATGTTTCAAATTAAATCTTGCAGCAACTTGACTCACCATATTTTTGTCTGGATGTACAAGAATAGATAATCGCCTATACTTCTTCTTAATTTCATCAAGAGTGGAATCAGGTTCAACTTGTAATACTTCAAATGGATTTAAATTAAAATATGTTGATCCAGGTCGAAGCAATCTTTCAATCTGTTGTTTTGGTGTTAGAACGGAGTCCCTTTTTTCGATTTCTTTTACCTTTAATACGCAAATACAGTTATGGTTTTATTATTGTTAAAAGGGTATAAAAACAAATTCATATTTAATGGTTAATGGTATATTATTGTAATGGTAGGAAATAATAATAATTTTCATGAATCTAAAAATGGGTAGAGTTAACTATAGTAGATTTCGATTTAATTAATATAGCTTTATTCACAATTATCGAGGACTTACGGATAACCACTATAAAATATTTACCTCTGTATAGAACTCCTCAAAGGATTCTTTTCTATCACCAGATGATGAAGACATTTTCCCAAATAATAAACGAACGAAAATTGTTCAATACCACAAACACATTTGCGGTAAATTATTTTGTCTTAGGAAATAGTTATGTGTTGTATCGAATATTGAAGATTTAAGTTTTAGCGTCATTCAACGCTGCACCAAAAGTACTTATACAACTTCTTGCCTGTCAGAGATAGAGTATGTAATATTTTGTAACTGCTTGTATTTTTTAAATTTTCTTATTTAGCTTTATTGATGATACTAGAAAATTGTGAAAATATACCTAATAATTTTTACATAAATTCGTGGACGGAATTTCCATGAAGAAAATCGTATGACATTTGTGATTTGACAGTCTAGTTTAAATATCTGAAAAAGATTTTTGTGAGATCTGTGTCAATAATCATTGTAGAGAACTTTAAGTAGTGCACATCTGTGGTACTGCTTAGTTGTTGTATTTTTGCGTTGTGAAATTAAACGAATTTCTCTATTTACATATTTTTAATTTTAAAATTAAACATTTTAATTTTACTATGTAGTAGACTTGTCACTTTCACAACAACATACATTTTTTATGTTAAAAACATTTTTAACTCTTTAATGCGAAATAGTCGCGTAAAGTACAGATAATACTAAGGCCAAATGTTCCAACTCTATGTTTGTTGTTATCTATCATGGATAATAATAATAAGAATTATTATCTCACTTTTCGTCACAATCATCATACCTACTTTTGGAATGGGTTTATCTTATTAGTACAGCGGCAGTATTTTTTTTGTGTTGCTGGATCTTAAACTATATAAAAGGCAATCGAATTATCATTTTTACAACAAGTTTTTATTACATACAAATATGAGCTTCAGATTTGTAAATAATTACCTATTGTTTGTTGTCAGGTGCCAATAAAATGTTTGCAAATAAAGTTGTACTCATCACTGGAGCAAGCTCTGGTATCGGAGCAGAAAGTGCTGTTGACTTTTCTAAGCATGGAGCAAATTTAGTGTTGACTGGCAGAAATAGGGAAAATTTGGACAAAGTAGCTAAACAATGTCGAGAAATGTCACCTCAAAACTTAGACCCTCTCATTGTAATTGCTGATATGAATAATGAAGGCGATGTACAAAAAATTATAGAAGAAACTATTGGAAAGTTCAATAAATTGGATATTCTAGTCAACAATGCAGGTGTGCTGGAAGCGGGTACTATTGAAAACACATCATTAGCCCAATATGATAGAGTTATGACTACAAATGTTCGTGGACCATATTACATAACAATGTTAGCTACACCGCATCTCATTAAAGCAAAAGGAAATATCGTAAATGTATCAAGTGTGACTGGTTTGAGGTCATTTCCTAATGTTCTCGCTTATTGTATGTCAAAGGCAGCTCTGGATCAGTTCACCAGGTGTGTAGCTCTCGAATTAGGACTTAAAGGGGTTAGAGTCAATGCCGTGAACCCTGGTGTTATAACAACGGGCCTGCACAAGAAAGGTGCAGGTGGTATGGATGAGCAAGCATATGAAGAGTTTTTGAAGAAGTGTGCTGCGACTCATGCTTTAGGCAGAGCAGGTGATGCTAAGGAAGTGTCATCGGTCATTGTTTTCTTGGCCAGTGATGCTGCTAGTAATATTACTGGTGCAACATTGCCTGTAGACGGAGGTCGACATGCAATGTGTCCTCGATGAAAATGTGATATGAGATAAAATTTATATTGTTTTTTAATTATATATATATATATACTTGTTAAAGGAAAATCTTATTTTATAGAATATTTGTTTAAAAAAACCTTCTTCATATTAATTTATATATAAATTACTAAACAACTTGAGTTTAGCTTTACAGCTTCATTTTGCTAGCATTTATTCTTTTAATCTACAAATCCTTATAATAGTTACTCTTTTAAAATTTACTATCAAACTAAAATGTGGCATTATTGTATAAATATTTTCAGCATAAATATATGCTGAAACATGATTATACATATACACAACACAGTATTTAAAAAATCTTGTAGGTGGCAAAAATTAATGTTTTATTTAATTTAATGATTCTACTCCATTCAATCCAATGCAATCAAAGGTAAACTTATATCGTTGGATGCATCAGATGATGTGAAAATCGAGGAATAAGAGCACCCAGCAATTTCAGACATAATTGATCTTGCTTCGGCGCCAGCAGACATAAGGCTTCTTCCTGCACACATCTCTAGAGCGGCGGGCAACGTTAGAAGGGAGAGGTTGATTTTAGACATCTGAAAAGAAACAGTTAGTTAGTGTAAAGGGAAGTATAGAATCGTTGGTTTAACGAGTATACTTTAAGCTTAGTCTTGCAAAATATTTTGTAAAGGAAACTTCGCTACAAAAAGCGAATGTTCTCGTTTGTTCTATGACCGTGATTTGAGAGTAGCTAATTTCCAGCACTTCACATTTAAAAAACTTTTAACGGATGTGGATGCCGGTTCATGCCCTGACCGTGACGATATTTTTTTTTAAAAAAAGAGGATGTCAAAAATTTTAAAATTTCACTTTTAACAGTCTTAATCGCGAAATGTATTAGTTAAACTTATATACTATTAATATAATATTTTAACAGAATCCATTTGACGTTTTTAACGGTTACAATTATTTTAAAGTAAGTTTAAATTTTAAAATTAGTATTAGTTTTAAACTGTTTTCACATTGTATTAGACTGACTTACAATTAAACGTATTTTTAATATCGATTCGCATAAACTACTAGCTGGATTCTTTACTAGTTGTAATTCATCTTAATAAGAATTATGTAATTGAAAAATCGAAAAGAAATTGAAAAAATTTTCGACTCGGGCAGGACTTGAACCAGCATCGTCAGCTTTCCGTGCTGTTGCTCTACCAATTGAGCTACCGAGTCCTACACCTCATCGTCGAATTTTTTCAACTTATTGATACATGCACCTCTTGATACATGTTTGTTACATGCAACCTTAACTATTCAAAAAAAAATTTCAATTTATTTTCGATTTTTAAATTATATAGTGCCTTCATGTGCAATAACATGTGAAAAATATTAATGTTTTCAAAAGAATTATGTAAATAAGATAAATGAATGAAAAAAATATATGAAAATTTTAGCTTCACCACGTTACGCTTCCAAACGTTTTAAATAAATTGAAATTGAATTGAATTGATTAGCTATTCATTACTTACCATCACAGTACTCTGGGTAGCGAATGCGATTCCTTGATATTCAGTCTTGACTAAAAGACCGCCAAGGCAAGTTCCTGTATTGAATAAACTGGTGCTGTTCTTGCCGCAATCTTCCATTTGGTCCCTGGCTACTCTAGTATAGTTGACAGCACCGTCTGCTAATATCTGAAGCTTGTCTACCATAGTCTGTATGTCTTCGACGTACTCGCTAGCACATTGGTTGGAGTTCTCACGTGCCTTTGAGAACAGAAGTTCAGCGGCGTCTTGTTGTTGCTGGAAATTATAAAGAAAATAGAGTAAATGCTACTTTGGTGTTTATGCTGCTCGGTTGTCGTAGTCGAGAATTGTTCCTCAACCACATTCAAGAAGCTGAGCGATTCTTAACTAAGCGCAAAATTGACGTTTTTAGCCTTAAACGTTAGTTTAGATTATTATTATAATAGTTCCAAGTCACGTTAATGCATGCATGTAGGCACATTGGTAAATCATTTAAAAACTACAGCTGCCTTTTACTTTCATTGGGAGACTTCGATAATATTAAAGATTTTCTGGATCATATTTTAAACAAAATAATATCTCAGTAATAGAATTCCTAACTGCTATTGTTAATGTGTAGTTAAGATTGTGTAGCTTTTCTTGACAATCTGAAAACACGTTTCCGAATTGGCAATTACCTCAATACAGGCTTTGACAGCTGGCCCGACTCCTGTGATTTTATCAGCAATATTTTTGATCGCCTCCTGTATACCTTTGCGAAGATTTTGTATGTCATCGAGGACCTTTTGACCAAACAACTGCATTTGCTGCTGCATGCCACTTATAAAGGTAGTGATCGCATCGCTTGCTTGCTGTGCGGCTTTTTGTAAGTTGGCTATTAGTTGTTGAATGAGCACCCTGTGTTTCAAAAGAAAGAGATAATATATAAACATCCGCCACTGTCGTGTGTCGAGTATAAAACATATATTATTGATTTCACAAAAAAATATATAAATAAATCGGGTAAATAGATATTTTAAAGTTCCAATTTTAAAAGTATCTACTCTCCATTGCCAGCAGTTAAATAAAGTGTTACCAATATACACTTAGTCGACTTATTGTGTTGGGACTCAGCCTTCCTAGCGATACTTTTCCTCATTAGACTTCTAACGCATTTTAGGATTTTTAGGCCGACTTTTTGCACATCCAGGATTCGAACGCTATATCATCGTATGACCAATAGGTATGGTGTAAAAAGATAAGATTCTCATATCTTTTATATTAATAAATAGTCTTTAAATCCACTTACTTCGTGTTTGCCAAAAAATCAACATCTCTTCTTTGTCGCACAGTCACAGATGCTTCCGGGCTTCCAAAGGCCGTCGAGATCTGTTATTAAAAATTATATTTAATCTTTGTAGTATAGATCGTTGAAACTTTTTGAACGATACCAAGCTAAATGTTTAGTATATTTTTCTGAATTTATAAATTCACCCTTTCGCTATGCCATTTGGACGCAAATATTTGAACAATTTGGGTTTTTCAATATTTCGTTATTCGATATAAAATATATTTACTTACTTTCTTATGACGTTATAACTACATACAAATAAAATAACCATTGTTTTAAATCCATAAAATTATAAAGCATACAAATATTTTTTCTTAATCTATTTGTTTGAAGATAATTGGTGGACATCAGTAAATTATTTTTGTTATCCATTATCTTTCATAATATACACTCACTCAATTTATTTAAATGTAACATCAAATGATATTTGAGAAACTAGAGAAACTGCAAAATGTGTTAAATATTGCTAAGTATATTTTCTTTATTCCAATTCAAAAATCTAAGAAATTAACTAATTTACTTTTTATCACCAAACCAAAAGACAGATTCTAATGTACAAACAATTAGAATTACTAAATAATTTAAATTATAATAAATTTTGATGTAAAAAACTTACCAAGGCAACAAATAAAATTGAAACTAGAACCTTCATGATGATTTTACCCTGTAGGACTGTCAACTAACAAATCGTGATACTAATGGTGTTTTATTAACTACCTATGGTTTTATAGCACACTATTTAAACAATCCTTACGTTGCAATACACTAAACAATTGATAAGATCATGGGCAGCGAGGTAAACACTGAAATTAGCGCAGAACTTATTCAAATTTACTCTTTTAATCGTACTTAAGTACTTCACTATTTTTCAGTTCAAAGCAATAATAAGGCTTTAAAAATGCTACAAAAACTAATTCTAAGACGTGTAATCGTTACACAAAGAAACCATTTATGTTTTCTATTTATAGTTATACTTTAGAATAAAATAACACACTTAAGAGCTAGTAGTTGGAAAGGAAGAAACAATTCGCAATTATTGTAGGATTAATAAAATTATTGCGAGTTAAATTAAAAAACAATTAGATTGTAATAAATAACGATACGAACGGGACGTGAACCGGCATCCACATCTTTCTGTGCTGCCGCTCTATCCCATCAAAACATCCGACTTTAAAAGGTATAGGGCAAGTTAAATTTCAACATTTCCTAAATAACTATATTATGTTTATGACAAAGGGAGCCAGACTTCTACATATATAAGGGTGTTCTTGGTACTGGTACATTACTGTCATATTACAATTTGTCGTATATTCAAAAAGTAAACCTCGCTTGATAATATTTATGAAGAAATGCGTTCTTTAAGTACCTAAATCTGTATTGCTAAGAAATTCCACTTTCAGTCTGCGTAGCTTATTTCTATTTATTTGTTGCTTATCTGTAATCATATTTATGCGCTTCTTTGTTCATTAGTTGTACTTAACTGCTTATAAAATTTGCGATGGCAATTTACAATTATTTTTGAACATTAAAACAGGTCTTTTTTTTTTTTTTGGGGGTGCCCCCCCTGGGGGGCCCCCCCTCTTTTTTTTTTTTTCCCCCCTTTGTTTTTTTTTCTTTTTTTCCCCCCCCTTTTTGGGGGGGCGAAATTTTTGGGGGGGGGGGGGGCCCCCCCCCCCGGGGGGGGGGGGGGGCCGGGGGGTTTTTTTTTTCCCCCCCCAAAAAAATTTTAAAAAAAAAATCGGTTTTTAAACCGTTAAAGTGTTTTATTTAAATTAAAACAGGTTTGTATTTTCGTGCCTTTATAAAGAAATATTTTTATTAATAAATAAAATGCCCTTAATGATTCAGAGTGAACTCGGCACTGAAGTTGTGCAATTTATAGCTATTAACATAGATATACTATCTTAAAATCAAGGTCTTCAACAAATAGTGGTATCAGATGACATGATTTCTTTTTAACATCTAATGTTTGGTAACAGTTGTCCTACATATTAGTCATGTACTGTTTAGACTTGGACTAGTAGAGTAGGTTTAAACTAGTTCCCACAAGTGGGACTCATACTATAGATGATAGATAGATGACTAGTACTCGTTTGGGATGTTATCTGTGCAATCCTTAAACATAATTAATTTACTGAAAATCATAATTTTTATCTAAAGGGGATTATTGAGCAGTTTACCTACAAGAAATAAGTGTTTCTTTTCTGTCTATTATCGCGTTAACGCGTTTTCATCTTTTTTCACACAAAAGGATGCCAAGTACTGAATTAGCTCTATTATCTATCAATATACATAACAATTCATACGTAAGTATATTGTGAATGGCTAGGTTCGCACCGCGGTTCTTCTTTCCCTTCTAGAATGAAATAAGCTAAGGCTCGTACATACTCAAATTGTTATTAAAAAAACTCATTCTAATAATTCATAATGTAATTGAAAGTATTTTTTTGGCTATATTTAAGATCTATATAATATACTGTCTATAGTTTACGCGAGTAGTACACATTTAAATAAAACATTGTAACGGTTTAAAACGCGATATATTAGTAAAACTTATTTGAAAATGATTTTTAACTTCGGCCCGACGTTTCGGATTCTTTGCAGCAGCCGACGCTTGCTTTGGTCACGGGTCTTCCCGTCAAATAAGTTAAACTAATATATCGCGTTTTAAACTGTTAAAATTAGACTTGCAAGAATATTCGGTTACATGGTTTCGGCCTATTCGGCTGCTTTTATTATATTCGGTCGAATACCGAATATCTACATATTATTCGGCCGAATAACGAATACTTAAATAATATATTTTGTCATAGAGAAATAATTGGTAAAATGAAAAATTAAAATGATTGCTTACGTATATATTCATATTTGTATTTCTGTTATAATCATATAAGTAGTCATTGGTACATAATACTATAATAGTAGTAATGGTACATAATAATAACGAGTAGTTAGAACAAAACAAAGGAGCGCGAAACAATACGTCTGTACAAGTTTTTGGAGCAAAAATCCAGCCGAATACTTTTGCCTAATATTGACTATTGGTAGGGGTCTCGCCGAATATTCGGTATTGGTATATGGAATATATATTGTTGAAGTTAGTTAAAAGTTTTTTTTTATGTATATAATATGGTTTTTTTATTGAGCATCGCGAACACATATTGATTTCACTGATCGTATACTTACAGAAAAGTAATTGATAAGATTAAATTCAAAATATTGTATAGTTGCGAACTCAGGATTTCTCATGCCTAACGGAAGGCATACAGTCCTACTATAAATGTATGTAATGTATAAGTAAGTTGAGGCAAAAATAAAAAAAAACGTAATAATATTTTAAGTGACGAACATATATATAACTGTGTTCTTATAAACTTTGGTATGTATATTATACTTTAGTTAGAAACAGTAGATAAATTAATTAATACGAAATCATATGATGCTCAAAAATTTAAACGTACTTCATAGCACTTTCTACAAGTAAACAGTACATTCTTTTATCATTTATGTCATAAAAGTTCACTTAAACATTATCTAACGTACACGATTGATAATAAATGATTCATAAAATGCGCATTTTCGAATTACTAAGTACATTTATGACTGCGTGTGTCATTTATTAGAGGTTTGAACTTTGTAATTTACGCCGTAACATTTGCACATGTAAAATATTTGTGGCTGAAATCTAAACTATTTGAACGATTTTGTATTACTAAGTAACTTCTATTGTGCATTGAACATAATGCTTATATTTTTCAAAAAAATATTGTTTGGAAGAAAAACTCATTCGGACTTGTGTATAGGAAAGGTGAAGCGACATCTTTTGACGACATTGTGAAGTGGAAATCAGGACCGTTTGGAACATCGCTTATAGTTTATACTAGTCAATATTTTTCGTATAAAAACTGCTTGAATTTTCAAGTTATTTTTATAACTACGTTACTAAAACAAATAGAAAAACATTCTATGAGCAAAATGCCTTGACGTCAATTACAAATGTATGATTTTTATCAGTCAAACCAATAATCAAAATGACGTGTTAATTTAAGGTTAAATAATATGTTAGCCCTTTGATCAAGACCGTTATAGATCAATTAACATCAAGTACGAGTAATATTATACATTTAAATTAGATCGTCTAATCATGGTACAAAATAGGTTTCATTTGAGATAAAGTTAGCGCCTGACAAAAAATTAAGGCGATATTGTTTTGCGTCAAAAATGCTTTAAATTTTGTTTAAGGATTGATCTATCTTAGTCCAAATTTAAATAAAATATTATGAGTCGACAGAATGAATCGTTTATTCATGTAAATAATTTGTGAACAATAATATTGTCCGAAAGAAAAGACTTAACTTACACCAGAACATGTCTCGTAAGTATTTATATTTTCTGACATTATAGGGCCGTTAAAATACCTACCTAGTAAGTTCAAATAGCGCAGTTAAGCAAGATTCCCCAACATATTCTAGTCACGAACGCCACAAGGCTTCAAAACCTAACAGGATTGAGAAAGATCATGTTTCATTAAAAATACACAAACATCATTACCAACAAACGAGTTTGTATATTCTACGCAAGTAATCGGAAAGAACATATAGTTCTCTAGTATAAAAGTCGGGAACAAAATATACTTATAAATTTAACAGCTTTCTAGTTTATTAAAGAGTCGTAATAGGTCCAGTGTCCACGACTTCTCCTGAAGACGGCATTTCGACCCTCAGTCGTGAATCGAAATGTCAATCAGATTTTTTTAACATACCCGACCGAATAAAATTATTGTTTCGCGATAAGTAGGTAGTACGTCCTAACTGCATAAATATAGGGGTGTGTTTCTACGGGGTATTGGAATGAAATAGCAAATAATCTTCTCAAAGTAATTATTAGAATTGATTTTTTATATTGTTCTTATATCGTTATGTCTTTATTTGCTAATTAACTAGTGTCAGTAAATTGAATTTCATCTATAAGGCAGGTATTTATTTTTTATTTTACATTTCTCTCTCTCTTATAAAGTAAACTTGATGAGAAAAATTTCAAGACTAACAGTTGAATACAGTTTATTTTACTATGCTTACGACTAGAAGTCATGCAACGCCATCTAGTGTAATTGGAAGCGAAACATCAACATCCCACCGAAAACTCATTCGACCTTTGCGTTAACCTCAGCATAGATCAATTACATCATTCAGTGGCTAATAACAAGTGCACCGTTCACATCACATGATCGGCGCTCATGTGACAGCTTGACCCAACCCCTTTTATCTCGACAGAGGATATGGTTTGCGCTTGCTTATTGATAAAGTACCGCACAATGAGGTCTAACAGCTATTAATGACCACTGTTCTTATATCTTTCATCTTTGTTTGACAATCGATAGCTCAAACTATGAAAAATGTATTGTGCTTCAACAATTATGTGGATATCTATACTATATATACAGCTAATAGTTTCTTTGTTATAAGCTGAAGAGTGTGTTTGTTATGAACGCGCTTATGTCTGGAACTGGGTACAATTTAAATAAAACACTTTAACGGTTTAAAACGCGATATATTAGTTAAACTTATTTGAAAATTATTTAGTATTATAAACAAGAATTATCGACCAATGTTGAAAAGTTAAACTAAAACTAAGTTGTGGACGGCCCCGTTG